AGATACTTTTACCCTTACCTGAACTTAGGCTTTCCGCCTTCAACGTGAAGATCGTAGGAGAAGGTCGTCACACATATCTGCATAAATTGTACCGTCGCATTTCGTTTTCCGGGTCAGGATGGTCGAATAAAACATCTGCCTTGTTTAGGATGATGACCAACTAATGTTGACATACTGCAATAATGTTTACGTGGCAGTATAGATTTGATAGACGTTTCCAAAATTGTTTACAAGTATTGGTAGTTGTTTACAAATTGTATGTACTATAAGCATAGAGCAGTAAGATCACTAGTTCGTACACAACAACAAGAATAACAACCAGGTAGGCGTTATCATAATGGTTTCGTCAATGTCTCCACTTAAAACTCGCCGGCAACAATATTTTGTAGATATCTGTATTTTGACAAAGCTACAACATAGTAAGTACCCTGAATCTATTTCCGCGTTTCGATATGGTTGTGGCCGAGTGAGTTCTGCTACAAGTGTCATCGGTGAAGCAGAAGACGTTTACTCTTCCAGACCACCTGGTCTTATTCCCCTTGTATATTTTCAGGAGTCTCTGTGTAAATCTTTCCTTTGTTCATAGTTTGCCCTAGATTTAAGGAATTTGAGTTTTATGACAGACGACTCAAAATTCCAAGTAAACGTGACAATTTTATTTTTAATTTAACATATTTGAAAAAGACAATAAAAGTATGTTCTCAGTTTTTTTAAATATACAAATGTGTAATTCCAGAAAACGAGCCGTCGTATGAAAACCAGTCAATTATTAGGCTATCAGACAGAACATTTTAAACAACATAAACTGTGATGTATGTAGAATCTGCTTGTGTTAAAGTAATTACATATTTTAAAACACAAGAGAAGATAAAACGGAATTAAATTAGAAATGACATGCACATGGCGGTTGTTCCCAAATAAAATCTGATTTCTTGAAATGTACATCCTTGAACATCCTCGATCGCTTTCCATCTCTTCACATCTGGAACATGTCATAGCAATATTGAAGGCACACGCGCAGTTATTGGATTGGTTCCTGGAGAAAAAAATAACTGACCAATCACAGGCGGATACGCTCCTCTATCTTCAAAGCTATTACAATATACTGTTATGCGACCTCGAGATTCGTTTGATATACACATCGATGGATCAAACTAGTCTTTCTGTCTTGTCCACAATGTGACGCACACGGAACCTTTAATTGTTCTATGACATGTACCCGGGATGAAAGTATTCGCAACCCCTGGGGTATCGAGGATGATCCCGGAATGACACTGCTTGAGATTATGCGTTGGATGACTAAGAACATGCCAAGAAGGCTGTATAATAAAAGGAGAGAGGGAGAGAGAATAAATACAAAACAGACATTAGAAATACAAAAGCGCACATCGCAATGATACGTAAATGATAACAAGCCATTAATAGCGCCAGATTTTATCTTGAGGAGAAGCATTTTCAATATCAAAATCATTGAACTTTCATAAACCGGAGTTGTTGTAATGCAATTGCAAAGTCGATAGTGGAGGGGTTCATGTACTTTAACAAGCGATTCTGATTCTGAAAGACAGGTTAAACAAAAAACGGAAAAAACGACGGATACCGCTGAGGCCAAGAATACATTCTACCAAGTTTCGATTTTGATCTACAAGAGTTACTTCCCTTCGTTTCACGCTCTCGAATGCTATAGAGGGTCCCTATGGAGGGAATCGTTGGCAGCGTTTCATTTACTATCGTGGTTCATGCATTCTCGAGTAGTAGTACAAAATTAAGGAAAAAAATGAACTACAAAACGATAATCGATTTCATTTTAGAAAATCTGACCCGTTTACTATTCAATTTCACTATCAACAATTTAATTTGTGCATCCAAATTTTTTTCTAATATCTAGTTCGAAGTGTATAAAATTAAATAATAAACTGAGAGTGGCAAAAATAACGATTTCACCAATTTATCTCGTTTCCAGTAATCGATTCACAACATTGCTAAGCTCTACTCTAGATATATAAGAGCAAGTTATCAAAAAACTGAAAAGCGTGGCATTTTCCTCTCTGCCCATCAGTTGACATAAAATCCAAATGTTATATGTATCGGCAAGTGTTAATGATTTGAGGTAGATTCACTGTTAAACACTTGTATAGAATATATTAGTTCAGATTTCGAATCTGGATTTATGATTGCTTTTATAAAACCAGACAAAAATCTCGCTGGAGATCATGATTGAATGTGTGTGTTTTTTTTTAAATTTCCGGTCCGGAAATGCTTGCAAACGGTCAACGAGAACTGAAACATAACAGTAAATATGAGATCTCGCCAATAGTAAGAGGTGCATATCTACAACTAGGGATATGTCAGAATTTGTCATAGTAACTTTTGACCTTTCATCAAAATAGTTTACGTTAAGTTTTGTTTCCCTTCTCTCAAACGAACATGAACATTTTTTATCATTTATAACTCAAACTCTTTACTGAGAGTTCGTCCACCTATCTGCTAGAATGCACACAACTTATTCGAGAAAATGTATAACAAATTTGGCATCACCTTTTAAAACTCCCGTCTCAAGCAAGATCCGCTAAAAATATAGGCACATCTGGTACTCGGGACACACAACATCTGGATTGCACGGTTACGGGAAAAGTGAAAAAAAAACAAAAAAAAACAAACAAACAAACAAAGTCTATTTGGTAGTATAAACTAAAGGTGGGTGGGATGGGAAGGCCTGTCTAATCGAAGGGTAGGCGAACACAGACACCTGCATGTGTCACCACTGTCGAATGTCTACCTGTTTCGCTTGCGCCAGAAACAGCACGTGTAAAACTTGCAACGGACTTCCACATGCACTCGTTTACATAACAACGATAATAACATTGACCTCAAGCTCTCTGTACCATCTTCATCCCATCATACATGTCTCATCTCTCCTGAAGTCAGGTCTTAAAAATAACCGCCCGAGAGTAATCAGTATATTCACTGAGAGGAAACTATAAAACAACTGTAAAACTGACACATTATGATACATATAGAATAAAGATTGTGTGCACAGTAAACACGTTAATGGAAAGTATGATTAACATTTATTGACGGAGCTATGTTAATTATTCATATAACCGACATAAACTTTAAAAATATACACGTACGCCTAGAGCCCCAGTAGATAAGGTAGAGCAAGTTAGTGTAGTGTGTCTGTAATATAACACACATGTGAATAACACATTTCAATAAAATTTAGAGTTAGATGTTGTTTAATGAATTACATAATATTATGTAAACTGCATCACACAGCTGTTCAATCCATCTAAGAATCATCGGTGATGCCAAGGGTTTCCCTGGGTACTCCGGATTCCCACCAAAGTAAGACCCTCTTACGTTTCCATCCCGGCCGACAAGAGTGATATATAGAAGTTGGAAATAAACTTGTTTCGCAATTGTAGCAACAAGATGTACAGTTTATTTAAGGGTCTAAAGGAATTTAAACCAAAATTGACAGAAAATGTCGAAACCAAGGCGGATAAGTGCACTAATTCTCCTTCCAATTCCATTTTAGTGAATTTCATTGACCTCACGATTGCAATATAACACAGAGAAGTATGCATATTGCGAACCAATGTTCGAGTGAATTAAAACGTGGCATGTAGCGTTCTAAACTCAATACGTACAGCGTATTGTGAATTTTCACTCGGTTTGTCTACTGCCAGTGATGAAGCAGAGGACCCTTACCCTTTCGCAACACATGGTCTTATTATCTTTCCCTTTTCCAGTGGTTTACATGCACTGGCGTAGGCAGGGGGGGGAGGGGGAGGGGGCCAATTGTGACTTTGGTCAAGCACTTGTTACAGTACATGTATATCATATATAAACTAGAATACCCCCTGCCCACCGGCAACCAAGAAGTTTGAAACTGTTTAGAGCTATTGGCTTTTCAAGAAAAGTTTTCATGGCAGAATCAATGATACAGTAAAGTTAATGTCAAAGTTTCAATTAAAATTCTTGAGAAATAAATCGCCATTACTCAAGAAAAAATAAGTTGATTATAACCAATCAGACCTTCACCTACCTATGTATTGTTACAGTAGTACACATTACAGTTCTATACCTGTACCTACTGAGAGTACGTTGTAAATCAGCGGGAAACGAAATGATAATGGAACGACAGCCATGAGTAGTATTACATACCACAAAACCATGCAATGGCGAGGCATAAAATTCACTCTGTGTAGACAAAATTTCTTTCAATGTTCTCATATTCTAAAGTACATGTATGTCTGCGAGTGTTTGCATTTTGTATCGCCCCGTCTACAGCTGGTCATTTTGAAGCGAGTCCCCTTGCTGTAGCTGAAGGCTACTTCAATGAACATACATATCAGTCACATTCTATCCAGAATTGTTAGAGTAAAATGCCTTGCCTTAGGACACAACCAGCCAGCATAGGCCAGTCTGTTTCTCAACTTCATGAGAAACACAAAGCGCCATGGATAGGTAGCGTCGAACCACGCACTTTTGATCTTCACATAAACAAAAGTGTACCCTAATTCAGGTAAAGTTCCACCAAAGAAATCATTTACATATCAAGAGAAAACAAGATATGTATACTTTATATATATTTTTTATTTCATATATATATATATATATATATATATAGTAGTATACAATGCCAGTTGTTCATCAAAGATATTTCTCTGATGAATATCACAAATCCATTGATCACGTCAAGTAAATTGCGCATGACTCACATAAAAATTAATGTAAAAAAACACAACATTATTTCACTTAAATTTCTCGACGTGATACGGATTAATGTTCATAAACTTACAAGACTGTTAAAAAACCCCACTGTAAACCTATTATACATCGTATTACCCTAAGCATGTTCAAAAATAACATACGCACGTGTGAACATGTTGAAATGTTCCACAACTCGTGCTAGTGGTACCGCGTCATGTGTAGCTTATAGCAAAGAAGTCTAAAAGTCCACAAGCAGAGTCCGACACCTCCCCACCCCCGTCCCACCTAGCACATTGCCCCACCAATTTTGTAATGATCAGAGGAGATACAAAACAAATGTAGTTTTAACGATTTATAAACATATTTGTAGCAATGTGTGGCACTGTAAACTCCTTAACTTTCGAAGGGTTTTTATTTTCGTTCATTTCGCGATTATTCTTAACCAACGAATTAATATTCTGATTTCATCAAGAGTTTAAATTGTTATCAGCAGATCAATAAAGTTCTATTTATCAACGAAATTAAGTGTCTGTGAAACTGATGGAGTCATACGAAAATATATTACCTTGCAGATGTAAAATGTATAACAACAGTTTTGTTCCTTAGAAAAAAGAACGATGTGAAAACTTACAATCTTAGTACTATCAATTAAGTCAAACGAACAGAATTCAATTCTAGCAACTTTTAAACAAAAAGTGATCATTAGTGAACATTTAAACCAGTTTTCATTTCGAGGAAAATTCAGTTCATTTAATTTTGGAAACAATGGTCACACACAAAATTTACAGGATATTTAATTGGTATTTTTTTCTTTCGATTCAGCAGTTTGTTCAAAGGAGAAAAAAGGAGGACGCACACATAATTGTCCCCGCCTCCTGTCGAAACACAATCCAGATATATTTAGTCAATGTCGCCCATGCATGGCCTGTGTTATGTAATCACGGATTATGGAAAAATCCAAACGACACGTACGCTGAGAATGAGTAACGGGATGCGTCATTATTTTTCATAACAGCCTAAATAGTAGAAAATCATTTAGTGCTTCTGTTCGTGGAGTGTACAGTATTTTGTCATGCACAACTTCTTTTCATTAAAACGTTTTATTTCATTTTTAGAAGCCTTGATAAAATTGTCATTTCTTGCCATTAAGTTAACCAGGATTCCTTCCAACCAGCTTTTAAGTGAATGTAATCGGTCAAACTTAAATCTAGCACCCTTAAGAGGTTTTTGTCTTTCTATCAGTAATTCTAACATTTTTTTTTTGTATTTCTTGCATCATCTTTAACACAATAGCTTAAATAGCACCCATGCTATGGTGATATCATACCTCTCCATCTTTCCCTGTCGTAAATTCGTAGATTTCGCTCTTTCCCTATCTAAATTCAGATTTCTCTCACGCGCTATCGTAACTTCACAGATTGCCCTCTTTCTCTATCCTTAATTTACATATCTCGCTCAGATCCGTTCCTACCATAAATTCGCATATTTCGCTCAGATCCTTCCCTATCATAAATTCACATATTTCGCTCAGATCCTTCCCTATCATAAATTCACAGATTTGATTATCTCCTTACCTCGATCATAAATTCTAATATATCTCTCTATCCCTACAGCAAATTCATACGTTCCTCAATAATCAGAGATTTTCCCTGATGTCTCTCATGCATTGTGATTATAGGTTTGATAAAATACATTTGTATTTCAAATTCGGAGACGAATATAAAAAAAGCCCGATTATCTTGTTGGAAAATTACCTTTAGTTTATAGCTGTGTGTTAGGTTAATATCTATAATCATACATATTGCAACTCTGATGAGTATCGTTATAACCCCTGGAACTGGATTTTGTTGGATCAGCTGCCGCAACTGTCGTCTTTTTAATTTTATTGTAAAGCATGGAAAAGCCGAGCTATCTGCCCTTTTATTATTTCATTTTCGTCTTCCTGAAACGTACATGTATATCCGTGACATTAAAACTTTCATCTACAACGATCCCTAGGTGTAGACATGACAGACTTAACTCCCTTGTGTGTAGTAAACAACGTTTATATCTGACAGTCATTGTTTGCCCTCACGGCTCGTGCCCAGGTCACGTGGCCTAGTGACCTTGTACCGACTCAATCTGCTACATCAGTCTCCGTCGCGGGATTAAAGTTGACAGATGGTGTTTTGTTCACTTCTCTACTAGAGAGTTCAGCCATGTATTACCGTTAATCATTGCTGTCGTGGCCACAAGGAATCGGTATCCTGTAATATACAGAGACTGTTTCAGAAACATATGTAACACATGCAAATCATATTCAACTCTTAGAGGTCACAGACATAAAACTCCCATTCTGCTATCTGCTAGAGACTAACCAGTTACCAAACATACTTTACAAACAGGAATCAAAGACTCCAAAAGCACACACTTTATTCTAGACTGCCAGAAATCAAGAGAAACAAGATATCGGATACAAAAGACATATTCTACTGTCAGAATTCTGATACAAAAGACACATTTTACTGTCAGAAATCTGATACAAAAGACACATTTTACTGTCAGAAATCTGATACAAAAGACACATTTTACTGTCAGAAATCTGATACAAAACACACATTCTACTGTCAGAATTCTGATACAAAAGACACATTTTACTGTCAGAAATCTGATACAAAACACACATTCTACTGTCAGAATTCTGATACAAAAGACACATTTTACTGTCAGAAATCAGATACAAAACACACATTCTACAGTCAGATATCTGATACAAAAGACACATTATACTGTCAGAAATCTGATACAACAGACACATTCTACTGTCAGAAATCTGATACAAAAGATACATTCTTCTGTCAGAAATCTGATACAAAACACACATTCTACTGTCAGATATCGGATACAAAACACACATTCTACTGTCGTTTATCAGATACAAAACACACATTCTACTGTCAGAAATCCGATATAAAACACACATTCTACTGTCGGATATCTGATATAAAACACACATTCTACTGTCAGAAATCTGATACAAAACACACATTCTACTGTCAGATATTAGATACAAAACACACATTGTAATGTCAGATATCAGATACAAAACACACATTCTACTGTCGTTTATCAGATACAAAACACACATTGTAATGTCAGAAATCAGATACAAAACACACATTCTACTGTCAGATATCAGATACAAAACACACATTGTAATGTCAGAAATCAGATACAAAACACACATTCTACTGTCAGAAATCCGATATAAAACACACATTCTACTGTCAGAAATCTGATACAAAACACACATTCTACTGTCAGATATCAGATACAAAACACACATTGTAATGTCAGAAATCAGATACAAAACACACATTCTACTGTCAGATATCAGATACAAAACACACATTGTAATGTCAGATATCAGATACAACAGACACATTCTACTGTCAGAAATCAGATACAAAACACACATTCTACTGTTAGATATCAGATACAAAACACACATTCTACTGTCAGAAATCTGATACAAAACACATTCTACTGTCAGATATCAGATACAACAGACACATTCTACTGTCAGAAATACAATACAAATTGTTACATTAGACAATTACCTATACTAGTCTATAAAACAAGCTTAGAACTAAAAAAGATCAATTCAGGTTCTTGCTACTGTTGAATGCAGAGGCAAAAAAATTCAGGTAATCATTAAACAGAAAGACAGTATGAACAGATGTGTGTATTCTTTTTTCAGTTTACTACTGCCATCAATTGTGAAAATTATGGCAGTTGTTGAACTGCATGTAATTTCATTACACAGAAAGACAGAAAGAGATTGAAAAGTAGTGTTTGTAGATGCCTATCATGGTGTTGTGTGTTGCTCTGGTTTCATATTCCATTTGTGCAGTGCTTTGACTGATTGTGGTGGGGAAAAGGTTCCACTGCGTTATGGTATATGGTAAGAAGGATAATTTTATATGGCTTTGGATAATTGGATGTGTCTGTAGTTTAGGTTGCTTTTACATTGTGTTCTGTCATCTGCAGGGATGAGAATATTTGTTATGATGATTACAAGCTGGTGTATGTTACTGTAAGTATGAGACATGTTCTTATTTGCCAAGTGATTGGACACTGCAGTTTTTGTAAAATGTCTGTAACTGAGCTTGTCGGGGCTGTTGATATGAAAAGCTGTTCTTTACTGTACTTTTACTAGTGGGTTGTTATTTGTGTGAAGTGCTTCTCAAACTCAAGAGCATGCAGTATTCAAACTGTTACCAAAAATACCTTCACTGTGTCTTTGATATCTAGAGCATGTCTTCAATGGCCTGAAGATTCTCAAGTATTTGTTAGAGCTGACCAATTCTAACGTATGATTACCAAATCTTTATCTCTGATATATTGATCTCTGTGTGTTTAGGTGAGATGAGCACAAAGCATTTGTTAAGTGGAAATTCATGAACTGACTCCCTTCCTATTTTCCTAGCCATATTTAAGTCCTCAACTTGCAGTTTGTGTGTGCGGTCTTGGCTTTGATAGTTTTGTATAGTATGCTGTTGTTGACAAATGGTCCAAGTTGCTATATATTATATATTCTTGTAAGTTACTTATGTATGTGAGAATGAGGATTAGGCTTAAACACAGGCTCCTTGAGGCAGTCCAGAAAATTATGAAATTTATTGAAATATTTGGGCTTGTGCACCTCCAAATCAAGATTTTGACGTTTTCATTAATCATGTTTGATTTTCCCGTAGTCACCAATTTAATTTCAAAATTTTGCACTCTGAACACCAATGAAAACTTAGAAGAATGAAAAAGCTGTATGATGTAGTCTTATTCAATATTTGACTCTACTTCATCTGATTCTGAATCTTATTGAAAGGTGCTATTCACTTGTGTCTCTGTTGTACAATCTTTGAGCTTTACCCTTTAGGTATTGCTGTTTGGGTGCATTTATTTACAAGTCTGTGATCAATGCCAGTGTATGACCTGTGATGCCATAAGATATCACATTTCAATTTGTACTTTAAGCATTTCTTTTGGAATTTGTCCCTGGCTGTGACAAAATCTAATGACATTATTGTCTTTTGCAAGGTCATGCTTGCATGAGGTAATTTGTATTTCACAAGATTGAGATGAACCAAATCCATGTTTGAGTATCATATAGTTCTTAAATGATACAGTAATTGTACTCTATCTTAATATTATTATTGCATTCTTAACAGCCCATCAACACATAATAGGTCATTAGGGCCATCAAATGGTAAACCACACAGAGATCCAAAAGGAAATAACATTAAACAAACCAAATGGTAAAAAGACAAATGCTAAAAATCTTTAATGGGTATTTTAAAACAAAAGATTAAAATGATATGTCATAGTCTATTATATAGACAAACATCTATCAGGTAATGTAGAATTTTACAAATCTCAACAGTTTCAGAAAGGGTTTTTAGACATGTAATGTTACGATAAAAACATTCTCGAGTAGACAGAAGGTCAGCGCAGTCCAATAAAAAATGTTTAACGTTGAATGGCTCATCACATCCTATGCACCGAGGATTATCTTTACCTTTCAACATATATGATTGTGTAAGGTATGCATGACCCATCGGAAAACGGACAAGACTCTATCTGTTGAGTGTGCTAGTGATTATGTATCCAATATACACATAATGATATAAGTCTGTTTTGTTGTATATGTTTATATTCCAATGTGTTCATGGGGATATTTGTGTGTATCCTGTCTTTTGACAGTGTCCTGTTTTATGTGAAATAGGAAGTTTTTGTTCAGTTGCTCTGTGCAAGTTGCCATTTTTAGAAATATTTCCTGTCCTGTTACATCTTGTCTTTATATCTGATGTAGCGGAAACTGTGTTAGTTCTTTGAGTTCTAATGTGAATGCACCATTAAACAACAGCCTGTTTACAGATACAAGAATTAACGTTTTCTTCAACATCAGACCACCATGACATATGTCCTACTTTCTAGTATCTACTTGTCTGAATTTGATCAAATATGGTAAAAGGGACTCCATGCAATTACAGTTCAGAATATGTACTCTGAATAGTAGCTGATTGATCCTCCAGGGGAAGAGAGAGGAGATGGGGCCCTAGAGAGCACATCTTGTGTAAATCTTGATAATAAAGCTTTCAAAGTTTGCAACAACAAGCTTTAACCATTAAGATATTCTAATCACTTTTAAATGCATATACACAAACAAATACTATCAAAATCAGCAACAGTATTTACATTTTTTTAATTTGACCTAACACCACATAAAAGTTCCTAAAATCTAAATCACTATGCTTTTACTTAAAATGCTAAATCATCCTTTTAACCATCACATTTCCTTTATAATCATGATCTAATCATTATTGTTTTATGGTGAATATTTGAGTTTCCTTAAAGTATTCTTAGCTAGAGGCTACCTCACTGAACAAAATAAGGGAGGCCCAGTACAGAGTATCTAGATCAATTTAGGTAAAGTTTATTGTACAGTAACAGAGTCTGTTACTATATCACATGTAATTCCATGATCTTTATTTCTTGGTAAAAGAACAGAAATCTTACAGCCCCTTCATCTAAAACAGTTGAACACTTGCAATAAATTTGTAAGATGTCACTATGTGATTTTTTAAGTAATTATTACTACTGAGAGGATACAGAAATTACAAAAATATATTGATGGGACTGAATAGATTTCTTAGATATAAAACACTTCCAAACAATTCTCAAGAACTGTCATGTGTGCAAAAGGTTCAAAAATACCTTTTATAATATAAATATCAATGTTAAGTACTGATAAAGACAGCCAAAGCAAAGAAAACAGTCAATTGTAAACATTTAGCTACAGCTGTAGCTAGTAATTGCTGTCTAACAAAGGCTACCAAAATTTCCAATGGTTTCTTGCCAAACAAAATCAATATTGGGTGAGGGGAGATAACTCAATTATTACAATACTGAAATCTGGCTGCTGTACAAAAATCATTTTTGCTGGTAATGCAAAACAAGATTTTTATGGAACTTAGAATTTCGTTCTTCATTTAAAAATCAAAGCTTTATTTGTCAGCTGGGGTATTCAGCATTCCAAATAAAAGCATAATCATCATCACAATAAAGAAGCATTTAATAGTTATCACATTTAGAGTCTGAAGTCAGGTTCTGACAGCTTTATAGATTTTATTTGTCAAGTTTCAGATTCATTCTTACAATACTGTTAATGTTATTTTTAAAAAGGGTTCAATTCGTATCAATTTCAAAGATGAAATGAAAAAATTGTACAAGACAGATACCTCAAAAGTAAAACAAACATGTCCCCTGGTGTGCCATAATTATTGTTTTTCATTATATCCTAACCAAAATGATTATCTCTAAATGAAGATATCAGTTATCATCTAGAAAGTTATTTTTAATCAACAATCACCTTCATACCTTTTAACCTTTAGACCACAAACACAATCCAACCCTTGGTTTCCCACTAACCTAACAATGTATTAAGTTCCAACCACATTGGCCATCCCTGACCATAATTATCATCTGGAAACCAAAAATCTATTTTAAACAAAAATGATCTTTGTGGTCGACCTTTTAACCACATATACAATCCCACAGTAGGTCTCAAACTAAACTAACATTGTATCAATTTTCAACTTAATTGGTCATCCCTAACTCAAGTTATCATCTGCAAACCATCTGTCTCGACAGTCAGACGGACAGACCCACAAACACACTATAGTCCCCTCAGGTTTTACTGGCAGGGTACTAATTAATAAATTTAAATGAAACAAGCTGTTTCATTTCTGATTTCAACTTAAAAAAAAAAAAAATGTATATCTGACCTTACTTTATACATATGTAGTTTAGGATATTGCAGATAAAATATGTATGTTTATAGTATAAAGAACAAGAGATAAAGATCCACACTCATGACCTCAATGGTCCAACATTTCTGTCCTTTAAAACATGAAAGTTTTTACATTTCTACTACAAATCTAACATGGTAATTCTGTCTTACCTTTAAGTCTGCCGAGGAAGCGGAGGGCAGTTATCTCTGAGTATGTACATCCTCCAAGGAAATAGACAAGGACAACACGCTGTGATGGAGACGTAGCATTAGTGCTGCTACCTTTACCTATAAGGAAAAAAGTTACAAATCATAACTGTGCGATGACTCAGGTTGCAGTTTCAGTGAGTAATCTATCAGTAAAAAGAACAGGACATATTCTACAACACATCCTTGATAAATTGAAGGCACAAGGAAGATAATTTGATTTGTTCCAGGAGAAAAAACTGACCGATCACAGGCTAATATGCTCCTTTCGAAGACACCCAACTTCAAAGCCATTAAAATATGTTTTGTGACCTCCAGATTTGTTTTATGTACATTTAAGGATCAAACTAGTCTTTTTGTCTTCTTCAAAAGGTGTTGCACATGGAACCTTCAATTTTGTCAAGACATGTTCTCATGGTGCAGATAGTGAAAGTGATTGTAACCCGTGGGGAATTGAGAATGCTACCAACAGTAAGTAAAACCAATCTTACAGACAACCTCTGTAGAAAGGCCACCTGTCTATTTAGGCCAATTGAACTAGTATAACAATCAACCAATCAAGCTAAAGAGATATTCTCTCTATATATAAAGCAGTCTGTATTTGACAAGGTATACAATACAATTCATAGCAATTACACTAACACATCCATATACAGGCCTCCTGTCTCTAAAGATTTATTTTTCTTAATTTTTTGTTGAATTAATTTCACTGAAATTGTCTTTTAAAAAACATAAGCTGATGATGGTTTCTTTAATTCAATGCCCCTATTTAAACAAAATTTTGTATCAGTATTAAATTTTTTGCATTTTATCTTATCATTATCTTAATCATCATTATGTTTTTACTTTCAAATTACCTTTTTGTTTAATTTTGACATCAGAAAACGTGCCACCTGGTAAGTTCTTCAGAATTTCCTCCATGCCGGTAAAACCTTCTTTTGACAAAACCTGTGATTATACCAAGGGAAGTAATCCAATAAAGAAGCAATACTTTTAGTAATTACATATCTTAAACAAATGATATGCAGCTTTTCTTATAAACAATGCAGAAAATCAAAAACTATCTGAAAGTATTTTTTATTGATTCAAACAGGTCTAAATGTTATTGATATTAAACTTTGTTCTTTTTTTTTCCATTTGTTGACATTAATGGATAAGCAGATGTTGACAACAGATTTAGCAGTTGTTTAACATTAAGAACGCTATCAGGTGTTACAAAAAACAATCTGATATGCAGACTTTTTTCAAACTTCAGGATGTTCTTAACCATTTCAGATTGACATCAGAGTCAAAATATGAAAAAGCAGTATCATTACTAACCTGTTCAACCAGTTTACATGAGATAGGTGTGTAGGCTCCACTGAAAACATATGACATATCAGTTGGACTTTTCAAGTTGATTTCATCAGTTTTTGGTATCTGTGAAGAAAAAATTTATAAATCTTGACAAAACATAAAATCTATTACACATTATATATACCGTTACACATGTTTTAAAATATTAACATGCATCATAAAATCTTACAATGGTTTAAAAACAAAAAAGATTCAAATTCCTTTTTCCCTACATTACAGTTCAATGATTTGACAACATAAATTTATACTATTGCAATCATACACATTATTTCTGACATAAAGTGTAGGTACGAGTTATAACAAGGTAATTGTAAAAGATATTACCAATAAGTATAGAACCAAGCATGTATTTGGAACCATTGACTTTATTCTAAGCATTATACAATATTTTTAAGCATTACTTTTTAAGTATTTTGTAAAGCAGCACTTCATAACTGTGACCCTACCAATGCTAAACGTTTACAGAGGCTGCGGTAGGAACCCCTCTTGCCCATGGCTGCCTGTACTCCTGCAGTGAGTGGCATGGCCTGAGCTTCTTGATCAGTGAGTATCCCTAGACGCTTTAGATTATGGCAGGTTAGCATGTGTTCATACCCATAACTCTGTAATAATGCAGAACATATCAGTAAGTAAAAGCATTAATAGTAGCACACAAGTTCTACCAATGTAAACAGGAAGTGAACTTACAAAAGTACACAAGTATTACCAAGGTAAACAGGAAGTGAACTTTCAAAAGTACACAAGTATTACCAAGGTAAACAGGAAGTGAACTTACAGAAGTACACAAGTTCTACCAAGGTAAACAGGAAGTTAACTTACAAAAGTACCTAGGTAAACAGGAAGTGAACTGACAGAAGTACACAAGTATTACCAGGTAAACAGGAAGTTAACTTACCAAAGAACACAAGTATTACCAGGTAAACAGGAAGTTAACTTACAAAAGTACACAAATATTACCAACTGAAGGGAAACGGGAAGTAAAACACCATGGGAAGCAAACTTACCATGGACAACAGGAAGTTATACAAAACAGAAAGTGACTTACCAAAGTAAACAGAAATTAAAAACTACAGGAAGTCAGCTGATGTTTGTAAATAAGGAGTCAAGCACAAAGAGAGTCAAATACCACAGGAGGGAAAGTTATCATGGTTAATAGGAAGTAAGCACCACATGACGTTCATTGACCAAAGTTACAAGAGTATCAGTGAAACTGGTGAATGATCCATTCTCCCTGAAAACGACTTCATTGGACACAATAATTAAACAAAGGGCAATAATTCTGTAATGAAGGGGTTGACGGCCCACAATTTGGTAAACACCAAGTTTCCTGATCCTTGCTTTACTGTGGGCAAAGTTATGCTACAGACATGAAAGAACAGACGGACGGATGGATGGACATGGCAGTGACTATATGCTCCCTCAAAAATCTTTGGGAAAGGGAAGTCAAACATTAAAGGAAAGAAACATAACCAATGTAAAAAGGAAGTCGAACACTACAGGAATCAAATCTACCTTGGTAAACTGGAATCCATAACAGGATGTAAACCTACCAAGTAAACCTTACACTACAAATACAGTGTGTGAAAAAAGAGAAAAGCTAAGTAAGAAAAAATACAAAAGTAAACAATAAATAAATAAATAAATAAATAAATAAATAAAAAATAAAAAATATACCAACAAACATACTGAACATAAGCAAAGCAAGCCATTTAGGAAGAAATGGAAATAAGAAGAAAAGTTGAAAAGGAATTACCATTATTATTTTCCATTAGAACTTTCACCTCAAATTATAATCAAATTAATTAACACAAAGCTGATAGTATTATACAATTTCTTGTTTAAGTATTGAAAAAAGGTTTGATTTTGATTATTGAAATGTACTGACATGTAAAAACTGAGTTTTCAGTGACTTGAACTCCTTGCTGGTGATGCCATCTTGGGTCATGGACAATAAACACAGCAGTCTCAAGGTCTGAGTAATGTTATGCTGAAAAAGAAAAATATAATAATAAAAGTCACCACTGATATTTTCAACAAGTTACTGGAAGCGTCATCACACACATCTGTTCACTTGTGCATTTTGATCAAAAAATTGGCAAAAATATGACAGGTTAAGACAAATACTTCATACAGTGTACATCACAAATTCTATAAATTGCATCTAGAATCTCTGAATCACTCCCCATTCTTTTTCCCTCCTGCACAATGAATCGTTTCCCATTCTTTTTCCCTCTTATATTGTAAAATAAACACCAGCCTTTTCCCCTCCTTTTCTGTGAATCTCTCCGTTCTTTTTCCCTCTTACACTGTGAATCACCCTCCTATTTCCCCTTCTACTCTATGAATCACTCACTGTTCTTTTTACCTCCTACTCTGAATCATCACTCCCCATTCTTTTTCCCTCCTACTCTGTGAATCATCACTCCCCATTCTTTTTACCTCCTACTCTGTTAATCATCACTCCCCATTCTTTTTACCTCCTACTCTGTGAATCATCACTCTCCATTCTTTTTCCCTCCTACTCTGTGAATCATCACTCCCCATTCTTTTTACCTCCTACTCTGTGAATCATCACTCCCCATTCTTTTTACCTCCTACTCTGTGAATCATCACTCCCCATTCTTTTTACCTCCTACTCTGTGAATCATCACTCCCCATTCTTTTTCCCTCCTACTCTGTGAATCATCACTCCCCATTCTTTTTCCCTCCTACTCTGTGAATCATCACTCCCCATTCTTTTTCCCTCCTACTCTGTGAATCATCACTCCCCATTCTTTTTCCCTCCTACTCTGTGAATCATCACTCCCCATTCTTTTTCCCTCCTACTCTGTGAATCATCACTCCCCATTCTTTTTACCTCCTACTCTGTGAATCATCACTCCCCATCTCCTACTCTGTGAATCATCACTCCCCATTCTTTTTCCCTCCTACTCTGTGAATCATCACTCCCCATTCTTTTTCCCTCCTACTCTGTGAATCATCACTCCCCATTCTTTTTCCCTCCTACTCTGTGAATCATCACTCCCCATTCTTTTTCCCTCCTACTCTGTGAATCATCACTCCCCATTCTTTTTCCCTCCTACTCTGTGAATCATCACTTCCCATTCTTTTTCCCTCCTACTCTGTGAATCATCACTCCCCATTCTTTTTCCCTCCTACTCTGTGAATCATCACTCCCCATTCTTTTTCCCTCCTACTCTGTGAATCATCACTCCCCATTCTTTTTCCCTCCTACTCTGTGAATCATCACTCCCCATTCTTTTTCCCTCCTACTCTGTGAATCATCACTCCCCATTCTTTTTCCCTCCTACTCTGTGAATCATCACTCCCCATTCTTTTTCCCTCCTACTCTGTGAATCATCACTCCCCATTCTTTTTCCCTAATGCTTTATGTATCACTCACTGTTCTTTTTCCCTCTGATTCTCAAAATCATGCCCTGTTCCCTATCATTCTTCTTTATCATAAAACTGCCAAACAAGTAGCTAGAATTTGTTCCCTGCAGTGAGTTTTGTCCACCTGACAATTTTTCCATAATTTTTCTAAATACCTAAAATTCCTGTATATTTCTACCTGCACAAGTTACCCACCTGTTTGTTTATCAGTTCCTCTATGTAGCTGATGTTTTCTTTTAAACCAGAACCCTCCAACATGGCTGTCAAGAGAAATTTATGTTAAAAAAGCTGGTAATCATTAAAAAAAGGGGAAAACGTTGTAGTTATGAAAGGACGTCACACTTTAGATATATTCAAGAACACAAAATTTTGCAAACGGTGGTCTAGAAATGATTTTAATTTGCGAATTACTCTCCTCGCTTATAAGCGAAACTAAATCCCATATGAAATATATGTGATTTAAAGTACATCACACATGGTTTACATAGAAAGGGATCAAATATACTCCACATGGTAATTATAAGTAAACCATCATTACACAAGACTTACCATGTTCAGCTTGTAGAATCTCCTGAAAGTCTCCTCTTGTTTTCTTACCTAGAATAACTTCACATGCCCCAATATCTGAAAATTACAATAATCTTGTTTTTCAATTAAAATTTTCCTTTTCTAAAACATTTAGAGAAATAATGGTACATTTTTCCCCTCTCATTTTTCAGAATCTTTTTTTAAAGAAAATTCATATATTTTTTACACAAGCAAATTAATGACATATTATTAAGTGTAATATTAAATTTAAACTAAAAAAATGCTTGTTAATATCCACTGCTCCTATTCATGAAAAATGCAAGTATCAATGTTTAACAAATTTACATAAACTGTTGTAGTGATCTTAACCTTTGCACTGTGAATCTCAACCTAAGTACATTGTACATGTATTATTATATCTAACCTTTACAGTTTACTAAAAATCTTTTTACAGTTGATGTCTGGGTGACAACACAGATTCACACCAGGATATTTGATGTGACTAAAAAAGGTAACAGAAATAAGGGGTATATATTTATAGTAACACCATCAACCTAAGCCAAAAGTAGAGAAAGCAATTTTTTTTGTATCCACACTTACGATGTGCTAAGACTGCCTTCTGATTTTTCAGATTTTTTAACTCGTTAGCCACATAGTTCTTCATGTCACCCACTGATTTCAGTGTATGTCTTTTCTGAAACAGATTCATGAACACATGATTAAAATGTGATAGAAATTCACACCAAATTTTATGAACATTATACATCTGATCAAAAGAATTTATTTCTCCATGCAGATTAAGCAAGATTGGGAAAGATTTTACTGGATATTTTGTATTTTGGCAGAAAGCTACAAAGAAAAACTTTTAAATGGAAGTCAATCAAACATTTTTTCAAGCTTTCCAAGTTGATTATGGAACTTTGTTGAAATGAGAGAAAAAAAATTCTTCATGTTAGAATAAAGGGCAATTCAACTTCAGGATTTCAAGATGGGGTCAAACTCTGGCTAACTACCAGGATTGACCCCATCTGAAACACCCTTATAACCAATATTACTATTTTCAAACATTCACAATTGTTGTGCTCATTGAGAAGATAGAATTGTCTACAATAGTTTTTGTTCTTCACCCTGACCTGTAATGTGACCTATCATGACTAACAGATTACATTACAACACCACAATGAAGATTACCGATATGGAGCGAAGATATCTTATAAGATTGACACAGGAAACCATGCTTTCAGTAATATTTGTAAAATTGATTATTCATATGATAAAGAGGATCTTGAAATCATTTCCATTCCATGGGGATTTTTTTTTAATTCATCAAAATTTTTTCATTTAAGCTCGGTAGATGTTTGTAGAAACAAAAAATTTTGAAGACAAGTCCCATACAAAATCAGAACTCATGTAAGATCCTATATGTATTTGTGTGATTTTCCGACTCATTTTCTTACAAAAAAGACAGAATGTTCGTATACTACAGAGAGACTAATAAACACCTGGACTTACATCAAAATCTGTCTGTAATGACTTAGCCTTGTTACTAAGAAAGGAAAATACATTGGAAAAATGTCGGTTTCTAACTTCTTCAAATATCTGAAAAAATGAAAAAGAAAATAAAATTTAACTATGGTATACAAACTGAAAAGATATTCTAAATTTGTATCAATGAATTATTCCAAAATTTATTAACAATCAAAATTACTAATTTTTCAAAACTTGTATATGAATAAAAAATTTCACTATAAATTACTTAAGTAATATCTAATTGAATACGAAAGTATGTAAATGTGTATGTAAAGATCGCAAGATACAAGAATATTTATCACTGTGACACTAGCAATATACTGAGACAACCTGAGAATGATCTTAGTTTATAAATGAAATGTTTGTGTTGTCTTACCTCATCCTCACTGCTCAGCATCAGTTTGACAGGCTGCTCTTTACCTGTTACGTCTGATCCAAACTCCACATACCCTATCACAATCATATTAGTACAGAAGTAATTTATCAAGAAACTCCGAATCTGATTCTAAAAGTGAGAATTTTAAATCATTAGAATTTTTTTTCATATACATAAATTGTAGATATAGTTTGTGAAAAAAAAACAATCAGCTCCAAAAATTATGTTTTAGTTTGTGGCTGAAAATGAAATTTTCAGCAACTGTATCCTGATGCCTTGTCTATTGGCAAGGGAAGACAACTCATGATTTGATAAAGCTCTATAGATCTGCATGTAGCATTGATGCTTAACACCTATAAACAAATTATGCAATCATTATTTAGATATGAATTCCCTTACATACACCTAAGTTGATGACTTCTATACATTGTAAATAGTAGATGACCTTGATCTTGAATCAATGAAGCATAGCTGTTTTTAAATGTGACTTTCGAAAAAAACTTTGATAAAAATCGTTCATACAAGAGAAATGAAATCGTTTGATGATTTGATAAATTGACCCTGATTCTGTATGAGGAGCTACCAACTGGAAAAGACTGCTATCAGCAGCCATAATACATTTAAAAAGACAGAGACATTCATACCACTATTAATGCCAAATGCTTCATCCAGTAAACCCTCGTAGGTCAGCTGAGAGCAGAGAGGCGTCACGTAATCTACATCTGAAAGTGAAATATTCAGTAGGTCAACTCTGAAACAAACTCTTTCATTTTTTGGTGGACAAAGACCTCCATTTTATAAGTAAATATACCAGTACTTATAGCTACTTGTTACTTTGTTTAAGGTATTGGAAAATAACTACAATTGAACTAAAGAAAATTAAACAAGCCAAGCATGAAGTAAATGTGAGTAACAATAAGCCAATAATTTATTTATTTTTGTAAAACTCTTGTGACAGCTAAATGGCCTCTCAATCAACTTTTTTTTAGTAAAAGTAAGTGTGAATTACATATATACAAATACCTGTTATTTTGATGCAAAAATAAAGTACGTAAGTAAAAATTGAAGGATGGGTTTATCATTTATTGAAAACAGAATTTCAATAATTATACACAATTTAAATGTACACATCTGTTATTAAAACTTCAAAGTTTGACAAAACATTTCCCGAAGAAGAACAATCTATAATGGAATACATGAAGAGTTAATAACATACCTCTGTCTATGAGAATCAGGTTGCCTATTTCATTGCGACTATAATCAGTCCCTGCAAGTTTTTCTCCAAGTATGGAATTCATGAGTTCGTACACCATCTGAAAGAGAGAATAATTGACATGGGGTCCAGTTGTATTTGTATTTTCAAATTACAATGTCCTTTATAATCACTGATCAATACTTATTAGCCTTTGATCACTGTTTAGTAAAAACTACACAAGTTTTAAGTTTCAGTCCATAATATTAGTCAACCACTTTTACCAAATGGCACATAATGTGTGATTCTTTTGCACAATCATGCACTTGATACTGCATCATATATATGTGCAGGTGATGTGCAGACAACGACAGTTTTTGATGTATTGTGCATAACCACAACTGTTCAATGAAGCCGATCACTTAAAATGTATACTTTTACAATCAATGCCTCATACAATTCTCTTAGAAAAAAAGTTCAAGTCTTTTAAAATTTTAATCTAATGCTTTTAACCTTGTGACATCAACCTGACATACAATGTCAAACCTATCACTACCTAAACAATATCTTACAATGTACACTAATCATGTGACTCTTTGTAATACTTATCAGCTACTTGTAGTGTGACATCGATTATACCTACATGTACCTCTTATCATGGACCCATGATAGTCCACTCATCTTTGACCCCTGGCCTATTACAGCACACCTGGCTTTGACCCCTGACATACATATGTTTGATAGCACATCTATCATTTGGTCCAAGACCCATGACAGCAAACCTACCTTTGACCCCGAGATAATGACAACACACTTACCTTTGACCCCCGACCTATGCAATAGACATTTGGTATCATCCCAATGAGAGCCTGGAGTCCTATCAATGACTTGGAAACAGTATGTAGCCACAAATGATCATTCTCCTAGAAAATATCAGAGTACATTCTAAGTAGCAAGCAAATGTGCCAATTTCATTTCGAGATACAATAGTACATATATTTCAAGAACTATACAAACAATATACAATTGCACTTGATTATACATAGGGCTGATATGATATATTTAAAAATCAAAATCAGGGATTTGAATTGATTTTTTTCCCTCTCTTCACTTTTACATGTACATATAAATATTGATATTAATATCGATGATATGGTCCAATATTGATCTTAACAAACAAATGTTTGTTTGATGTGTATTACTGGAATAGATACATGATCAATGAAGTAATAGTGACAGTACGGACAAGCGAATTGTCAAATTTTCGAGGTAACCTGCCCCTTTATCAAGACACAAATGTTACATAAATTACAACACATACATAGAACATAAAACAAATACAAAGTTATAAATCTAAATCAAGAGCAGTGGTTTATCTGTACTGTTGCTATTACTTCATTGATCTTATATATATCCCCTCACTTTCTTTCCCAAAGTTTTCATACACAGACAAGATAAAACAAAACTACTATAGCTATTGTACATATGTATGAAAAATATTTTTTCCCTCTGAATTTCGAATAGAATCGTTATTAATAATCTACATCACTTTTATTATGGGTAAAGGGAATACACACTTAAAGCCTTAAACAACTTCAAAGAACAAAAATTTGTTTACTAAAAAGCTGGTACCAAATAAAACGTTTTGAAGAATTCTGAGAGTTCCAGTGACAGAATGTCCCTGTCAAGTGGGATAAGGTCAAGTGGAAGTTCATCCAAGGTCACATCTCCGAACACGCCTTCATGTTCCAGGATCATCTCACAAACATGTAGCTGTATAATATAGAAATCAAATTACAAATAAAATTAACTTTGATTTCTCATCCTTCTTAAAACATTTAATTCCTACCATTATTACAACTACACTTTATCAGCATGTGTACTTTTATTCAGGAAAACTGAATGTACAATCAACTTACTACATCATCTAGAAAAGATTTCCTGATTTAGGTATCAATTTGATTTCATTGTTTAGTGCCCCATGTACAGCCATCATTGTTTTGAGGCTGGGTAACTTTGTACAATGTAGCTAATGGTCACCCCACAGAGCACTATCAGATACTATTCTTCTTGGTTGTGTCCTAAGGCAAGACAGTATACCTCAACTGCTTTGGATAGCATGTGATGAGTCTCTTGTATGTTGTTCAGTGGGATAGCCACCGGTTAAGGTAAAGAGACCTTTTACTGGTTGTTCAGTTACAAACAATTGAATAATTCTGGATATCCTTGTTACCGCTGAAACAGCGGGGCAGAATAAAATATTTCTGCTTTGAAAAAGATCATTTGAAAACAAAGAAAATAAAATTTGCCGACAATGTTGATATTAAAAAGACAACTAGACCAATGTCGAGGAAGGGCCCCGCATAATACCTACCCCTTATGATTGAGTTTCTTAATATTAAGAAATATATGGACAGGTGTCAAGTATTGAAAGCAACTTTCATCAAAATCCAATGAAAATGGACAGATGGACAGATATATGGATCGACGGACAGGGAAACGGACGGACAGACAGACGGACAGGGTGAACATTGAACTCGAATGAGGGGCTTATGTACCAAGTATCACAAAGCAAGTTTTAAAGAAATCCCAAATCATTCCTTCAGAAGATATTCTCTGTAAAACATTCAGCCAATCAGATTGCAGCAGCCTCAATAAATATGCGCGGAATTTGGCGAACATCGAACTTGAGCAAGGGACTTATGTACCAAGTATCATAAGCAAGTTTCATCGAAATCCCATCATTCCTTCTCAAGATATCGCGTGGAAAGCGAAACCGACAGACATGTAAAACATTCAGCCAATCAGATTGCAGCAGCCTCATTAAATATGCGCGGAATTTGGCGAACATCGAACTTGAGCAAGGGACTTATGTACATAGTATCATAAGCATGTTTCATCGAAATCCCATCATTCCTTCTCAAGATATCGCGCGGAAAGCGAAACCGACAGACATGTAAAACATTCAGCCAATCAGATTGCAGCAGCCTCATTAAATATGCGCGGAATTTGGCGAACATCGAACTTGAGCGAGGGACTTATGTACCAAGTATCATAAGCAAGTTTCATCGAAATCTCATCATTCCTTCTCAAGATATCGTGCGGAAAGCGAAACGGACAGACAGACGGACAGACAGACGGACAGACAGACGGCGGGACAGACGGACAAGGTGATTACTATAGGGCACCCGCATCGCGATGCGGGGCCCTAACAAGGGACATTATCTCTTCCAAATAAAGTCACGTTTAGGAAAACAGAAATTGATGTCATGGTGATTAAACCTACCAAAATTTAAAATGATGGGTTAAAAACTATTGGAGGAAATCTCTGGACTAAGAAAAATTTATAATAGGCAAAGAGATAAACACTGCCATTCCTTAAAATGTCTTGACAGGCGTATAAAATTTCTTACCTTCCTGGGAACCATAATTATTTTGTACTTTCTTGATGTCCCATAGTTTTTTTCTCCACTGATGTGATCAGCAATCACCTTCATTGTTCGCATCCTAGGTCTCACCAAGTAAATACGTCTATAACAAAAAATTGAAAACCCAATTTAAGTTTACAAATTAGATGGATAACCTAGCAAGTGCTTAATTATCTCACAGGAAGTTTGGAAAAGAAAGAAATATTATTAAGAATTTCATCAGCATTTGTAGTAAAAAAAATGTAAAATATGTTTGCAATTTGAGGACAGATCAAAAAGAACGATGAACAGTTTTTTCCACATGATTTCTCCCCCTTTGGCACATTTTTCTTAACGTAGGTTTGAAAAATGAATTTATTACACGCAGTTGCTTCCCCTGTCATGTCTCTAAATTCCCAGATACCAATACAGACAGTTGGTGCTGCCATTGAATTTTAAAAAATTAAATTTGACCAAAACATGTCAATAAAATGCATCTTATGTAAATGTCCTGAGCAGACATTTTAAACAATATCTCTTCAAAATCAACTTTTAAATTGTTTGAAGTAGTTAAAAATTTACGCACAGGTTAATACTTAAAAAGAGCCGTGTATTCTTTTACTATTCTGAATCATTTCATGTGCTTATGTGCAAGAGTATTCCACATAGTAAATTAAGGTTTGTATCATCATGACGAAACATTGTCATATGACAATTTCTCACAATAAATTATCATGGCAACTGGACGATGAGATGGCAGTTACATGCCATCATACATGTATATTTGCTTTGAAGTAGAAAAGAAGCAAACTTACTGATCACAACCCTGTATAGATTTCTGTGATGGATCCAATTTAAAAATCTTGTCAACACCATGTTGCTAGAAGTGAGGAAACAATTTAATAGAAAAAAAATCATATATAAAGAATCACATTATATATTGGTACTAAAAACATAAATAAATTTTTAATTTCAATTTGACTTCAAATCAAAGAGAATCTTCACTCATTGTTATATTCATTCTGAAAGCATAATAGCATATATATTGCAGCTTTAGCCTATAATTTCTCACGCTAATCTATTTTCACCTAATTGGCAAAAGGGCAAAACTGACGAAAGGTACACTGCATTGAATGGACAGAAATTTCATACATTCAAATTTCAAATGAAAATAGTATCTTAGATACTGCAAATATATGTTATGCATTCAAGTTATGATTATATACAAAACATATACCACATGTCACATACACATACCTTTAGGAGTGAAGCCCCTGCAATACGATCCAGTGGTTTCATTAGGTCGGATTCCAACACCAAATCTTTCTTTCCTTTGAACTGTAAAAATACTGATATTTTTTAACTAAAGGCAGAGACCATCAGTATCAACTGATGTACAAATGTACACAGAAGCAGTCCAGAGTTAGTACATGTGCCTGTATTTTCTAAACATTCATTATAAAGATGACGCAACACAAAAGAATTTTCCTGACTGTTAAATATTATTCTTTCGTCTATAGTATCTGTAATTCATTCTGGTTTTGCTAGTGCCTATTTCCTAACACTATATTTAGAAAGCACATTCTTGTACTTCGTTCCTAGAATGCAGTTTCCCTCATTTCAAGGTGGACAAGGTCATCAAATGATTTCTTTGGTTATCAATGTTGGAAACTATTATAAAGATTCTACACACAACTGAAGTCATACTTCTTATTGAGAAAATGTGATTAATTTTGTTTTCACAGTTATTAAAAACTGCCTTTGTTACTCCCAAAGCCTTGAATTTATGTCTGGTAAGATCTCTGTCACCAAGACTTTCTTCACTTCAACAACTTTGTATAGTTTTTTCTACCAACCAAATGGGAAGAGAGAAACCTGTGAGCAGAGAGTAATGGATGATTTTCAGCAAATATGAGTTAATAAATTTTGCAAGGTGATTTTATGGAAAATAAGGTGTCAATTTCATTTTTGAGGGGCCACATACTTGACCTCCTTGGCTTATCTCAACTTGTACATATGGGCTTTTCTAGATCTGATCCTTTTAGCAATTTCCGAATGATTATGAAAGTGTTAGCATTGTGGATTATAATACTAATACTTATGTATAGTTTCTGATAATAATTGACTATCTTATCTCACTTTGTACACAGGCCGTAACGGGACTTGTCTAGATCAGTTACTTGAATTGACAAAGAATAGATTGGAATGGAGGCCTTGTGAGAATATTTCTTTCTGATGTATGTGGATGTTTGTGTGCATTTTGCTCCTCTTTCCCCTAAACAGCAATCTATACTACTATACTAGGCCATAGCAATTGTCTGATAGGTGACTATCTGTAATTCTATTTTATAAGAGATAGACAAAACCCTTCGAACTAGACATAAGCCCTAGTGGCTAAAGCAGTGACACTTGGATACGGAAGTTCAAATAAATACCAAATGCCAGAAACAGATCTTTGTAAAAATACATCTAAATGGGAAGGATGAGCTACTGCTTGGACTTATATACAGGTCTCCCAAGTGGATTTGATTTAAACATATTTTATAGCCACAGTATAACAAAGGGATTGGGCACAAGTTATATCAACATTATCGACACCCTCTCCCAAAACAATTACAATATACACAATTTGGCAAACAAAAGTACAGGTCACATTAAGAAAAAGACAAAACATATAACTGTTGGCATTGCTCTCCGAAACTAAAATAATAAGATATATAACTATAGATATAAGTATAACCTGTCCAAACTTGATCAAAATGCTGGCTGGTTTGTAACAACTATAAGTGAGAAAAGTCTAACAAAAGTAAGGCCGGAATAGACAATGATCCGAAATAGACAGGGGTTGGTATGGACCGATTATACTGTATTACTTAATTACAATTAAAGAAATTAAAATCTGTTGCTGGTTTTAATAAAATGGTGCACATTTCTAAAAATCATAATATTTGTGTCTATGAGCAGATTTTTGTTTCCTGAAAGTAGTAAATTTATATTAATATTGACATGCATACCATCAAGACTATCAAATAGAACACGCCTCTGAAGGTCAAAACGAGGACATTCAAAGAAAAAGTACAATGCATTTTCACATGGGTTACCACATACACATTCAGGATTTTCTACAAGATTTACTCTAAATAAATCATATCTTAAGGAACTGTTTTGGTGACGTAACTTTGTATGAATAATGTTTACTTTCCTATCACCAAATCCAAAATACTTAGGAGGTTGTAACTGCTTTAAATCAGGTGTAATAGATTTTTTAAACATCGCAAAAGAAGGTGCAGATCCAGAGGAATTTTCCAGGTCATTCCATGAACATAAGTGGATCCAAGTGGATCAGAAGATAATGAAAAAAAAATTGGATGACTACTAGAATGGGCAGGAAATAAGTACGACGACTACAAAGGAACAGTACGTATAACTACCGAAAGTGACATTTATAATAACAATAACAAGGTCCAGCGAAGAGGATCTTTAACAAACATGTGCTGGAAAACATCATTAAAGAATAATTAAAGAAAAGAGTCCTGGCGTTGTGCTAGTACTGATGCCTGCCGGCTGGAAGCTAGGCAGAATCATCCAGTTGTTGGGAAAAAGTTACGTTAAGAGTATTTTCAATCGATTTAAATAAGACAAGACATAAACTGCATTCATGCTTACCGACAACAAAAGGGTGGCAAGTTCATTTCGAACAACATCGCGGATTTTTTGTACATTCGGGAAGGTTGTCGAGGGCGCTGACATTTTCCGGAAGTCACGTTATTCTAGTTTGCTATTCTAATAAATAAACAATGAAAACGATTAGCGGTGAGATATATCCGGAAATGTAACTTGAACATGCGTTGCATTTAATTTATCAAATGCACAAACGGTATTATGTCATGTTTTATGACATGAACATATATAATGTATGTTAGCAATCATATATTTACAGCGGTATACACGACGAAGAAAAGTGTAAATACTGAGAAAATTTCCTTTGATTTTAATGTACAATGTTTTATTTTCTGATTGATTTCACAAAATATTGTTTGAAAAATGTACTTCAGATATCTTTATGTTGTCGCTTTTTGAAATTTTTCTATTCATGATTTATTCTTCATAATGCAGGGGGAATATGTCTACAAAGTAAGAGGTCCGCCATGGGCAAGGAAAGTAATCAAAATAAAAAGGAACTAAGATTGAAACAGAAGCTTCACCAACAAGAACGATTAAAGTTTTTCTATACAAATGCTGATCAACTAAAAAACAAATTAACAGAACTTAACTCCAGAATTAAAGATAACAATCCGGATATTATAGGCATCACAGAAGTGAAAGCCAAGAACAGACTTCAGGATATGACAGTATCTGAATTTTCTGTCGAAGGAAAACTAGAGTACCAAGTGTTCAGTAGAAATATTGGGAACAACATAGGAAGAGGCATGATACTATTCATCAATAACCTTTTATCTGCGTCAGAAGTGGTCATGGAAACTGACTTTTAAGAGAATCTTTTTGTAGAGGTTAAGCTGAATAGAAATAAGAAACTTCTCGTAGGGCTAATATATAGGTCAGACTCTGGTTCAGCGGAGAACAACAATAAATTACAACTACTACTAGAGGAAGCAAATAGAAAAGGTTTTTCTGATATGTTGATAATGGGAGACTTTAATTACCCGAACATTAATTGGAACACATGGAATACACATAGCAATAGTACTGAAACTCAAGAATACAAATTCATCCAAAAACTACAAGATCATTTCTTCTGTCAACATGTTGATCAACCTACCAGATGGAGGGGTTACGATAACACTAATATATTAGATCTTATATTAACTAAGGAAGATACCAACATTTCGAACATTGATTACCTAAGCCCGCTCGGAAAAAGTGATCACTGTGTTCTGTCGTTTACTGTAGAGTGCAAGTTCACCACAATCATCAGAACAAAAGTCAAGAAATGCTACAATAAAGCAAATTTTCAAGAAATTAATAGGGAAATCAACAATATTTCTTGGGAGGAGATAATAAATGAATCAAACAGTGTAAATAAAAACTGGGAATTATTCAAGAGGAACATTAAAGAGATAGAGGACAAACTTGTGCCTACAAAAGTTATAAGGATTGGGAGTAACAACGCTGTAAGTTTCCCTGCAGATAAATCCACGCTGGAACTGATTAGGAAAAAACACTCACTTGCAAGGAAAGCATTCACAAGTAAAGAACCAGAAGCACGGAAGAATTACAACAGGATAAGGAACCAAGTAAGAATTCGAACTTGCAACCTTCGGAAAGAATTTGAACATACTTTAGCAACCAAAGCAAAAACTAATCCTAAGGCTATATGGAGATACATTAATTCAAAGTCGAAAGTTAAAGCTGGCATTGGTGAGTTATACAGCGAACCAGAAAACAAAAATTCTCCAAAGGTTACAACAGACAAAGAGAAAGCAGATGTCCTTGCCAATTTTTTCAGTAAAGTATTTGTATCCGAACCCACTAATGATGATATACCAAGAATTCCAAACAAAACGACAACTGTGGACATGATACCACTCCATATCAATAAACAGCAAGTGCATGAGTATCTTTCTAAGCTGAAACCAGATAAGTCACCAGGACTTGATGAAATACATCCCGCATATCTAAAAAACACAGCGAGCTCTGTAAGCAGACCAATATCAATTCTTTTCAACCAATCACTATCAACTGGGGACCTACCACTAGATTGGAAAAAAGCAAAAGTTTGTGCCATTTACAAGAAGGGCGACAAAAGCGAAGCCGGAAATTACCGCCCTGTAAGCCTGACATCAGTTATCTGTAAGATTATGGAGAGTATTATAAGGGAACATATAACAAAACAAATGAGGATTAATGATTATTTTTCAACGAAACAATACGGATTTATAACTGGAAGATCTACTTCTCTTCAGCTACTGGAGGTGCTAGACAAATGGACGGAAGCACTTGATGAGGGCCATGCTGTTGATTGCATATATATGGATTACAAGAAGGCTTTCGATACCGTTCCTCATCTGCGTCTAATCAACAAGCTTGTCTCTTATGGGTTATCAAAACAGTTGATATTATGGATTTCAAACTTTTTACAAGGTCGCCAACAAAGGGTTACAGTGAATGAAGAAGTCTCAGATTGGCAAAATGTTACTTCCGGTATACCTCAGGGATCAGTCTTGGGGCCACTCCTTTTTGTCATCTTCATCAATGAACTGCCAGACTTGGTGAACTCAGAAATGTACCTTTTTGCAGATGACACTAAGATATTCAAAATTTTGTCTAAGGAGGGAGATTCAACAAAACTGCAAAAAGACTTAGATATTATGTGTAACTGGAGCGAGGAGTGGCTGCTGAAAATGCACCCGGACAAGTGCAAACATATGCGTATAGGAACACATACAGATATGGCCATATACCATCTAAATGGAAATCAACTTCAGACAACATCGAAGGAGAAAGATATTGGAGTTATTTTTGAGTCTGACTTGAGTTTTGAAAATCATATCAGTGAGAAAGTGAAAAAAGCTAACTCAATGTTTGGGATGCTAATAAGAACTTTCCAGTTTATGGACATCAAATTATTCATTCCATTATATAAATCGCTTGTTAGATCCCAGCTAGACTACGCAAGTGCAGTATGGTATCCCTACAAATACAAATATATAGATCTTATTGAAAATGTTCAAAGAAGAGCAACGCGGTGCCTACCTGAATTACGGAATTTATCATATGAAGAAAGATTAAAAACACTAAAACTGCCTACCTTGGCCTATAGACGCTTGCGAGGTGACATGATCGAGATATATAAAATGATCAGCGGAGTGTACGACAAAGAGTGCTGTACATGCATAAAGTTATGGGAGAACATGTCCGATAAACACAGTGTTAGAGTAAACTCAAAAAAACTTTTTCCACAAAGAGCTAAATCTAAACTAAGAAGTAATTACCTTTCTGTGAGAGCAGCACGCATTTGGAACACATTACCAGAAACTGTTGTATCTGCCTCAAACACGAACTGTTTCAAAAATAGGCTTGATAAGTTATGGGAAAACCAAGATATCATTTTTAATTATAGAGCTGATATATCAATATAGACTGTCTTAATAGTAATTCAACGGAACTAAAAGCTGGACATATTATTTTGATTTGTACAAACTATATTTATTATATGAAATATCATGTATATATATTGTATGTTTTTTGAGACCAGAGTAGAGGATAGGTATATCCTGTTCTGGTAATAAACTTAACTTAACTTAATGCAAGAACCCGTCTGGACCATCTCAGGATAATTACTGACACGTTTCAACTGAATCCCACAGGTAGCAGTCGAGAAGTTCAAACTGTAAAAAAGTTCATTCACCCCTATTCATACTTTTGGGTGACTAGGGAGAGGAAAAATTCAGTAATGTGAAAATAAGTAATGACCTTACAAAGGCAGAAAGGGAACAGGAGAAACAGTTATATGAGAGCAGACAAAACAGAAACAAGTACAGAATCAATCGAGGGAATTCACGTACAAAGTCCGGGGCCCACCCTGGGCCAGAAAGATCATAAAAGTACGGGTCTCAAGATTATAGCATCTTACTACAACCGGGAAAAGAGAAAAGGCCAAACTTTGATAAAGAATCTAAAATGTTTGTACATAGACGCCAACCAGCTTAAAAACAAAACGTCAGAGCTAAACATGAGTAAATGATGTAAAACCAGACATAATAGGTATCACGGAGGTGAAAGCTAAGCCTAGATTTCAGAATATAAAAGCATTGGAATATACATTAGATGGGAACTCAAACTATACAATGTTAAGTAAAACATTGAAAATACGGAGGGTAGAGGATTACTGCTTCTGAGTGGTCAACTCGACTCTAAGAGTAGACGAAGTAGAAATGCAAGCATCGTTCCAAGAAAACCTTTTTGCTGAAATAAGTATAAGCAACAACACAGAGATCCTAGTAGGCCTTATCTATAGATCTGACTCTGAAACTGCTGAAAATAATATTAAGATACAAGATCTTATTGAAGAATCGGCCCAGAAATACTATGAAAAATATTGATAATGGGAGATTTTAACTATTCAGGAATAAATTGGGTGTCATGGAACACAAGAGGAGAAAGCATTGAAACGCAGGAGAATAACTTTATACAGTAATTACAAGACATCTTCCTATTCCAGCATGTACAGGAACCGACAAGATGGCGAGGAAAAGATAACCCGCGTATTCTTTATCTTATTATTACAAGAAAAGAAAACTCATAATCAGAAATTGAATATCATAGTGCACTAGGTAAGAGCGACCACCGTGTCTTAATCTTTGAAATAATTTGTAACGTAGAAGTCGATCTTCGTTAAAAAAAAACGAGAATTTGTTATAAAAACACTGACTACGGAGTAATCAATGCCGAAATTAGTCAGATAAATTGGGGTGAAAAGATTCCGGACTTCTACAACATCAACGAAAATTGGATAACATTCAGGAGAATAATCAAAGAAATGAAACACAAATATGTGCCCACAAAAATAGTTACAGTTGGAAGAAACAACAAGCATAGCTTTCCAGCAGGCCAGAAAACATTGGAGGCCATTAAAAAGAAACACTCCTCGTTTAGAAAGGCGTCAAAAGGGATAGACATGGAAGTAAGAAAACAGTATAATAAGGCCAGAAACAAAGTAAGGGAACTAACCCGTCAAGTAAGGAAAGAGTATGAACGTAAAAGCAAGACGGATCCTTAAGCCATCTGGA